TATTATTATTATTATTATTATTATTATTATTATTATTATTATTATTATTATTATTATTATTATTATTATTATTATTATTATTATTATTAATATTATTATTATTAAAACATAAAAATATATAGTACACTTGAAAACCCGATTCTTTTACGCCGCTACGAAAACATAATATTAAAAATGACCCATTTCCTTGAAGAGTTAAACGAAAACAAAACCTTAACTTTTGACACGACGTACAAACCCGTTCTCGATTCTTCGAACACTCTATTCTAACGACGATGAATAATTTGCACTGCAGTGACACAATTCAATATTTTCAATTTTCAAATTCTTATTGATTACGTTAGAAGTAACCGATTGTCTACTCTTCCTATTTTGGTTGATGAGACAACATAATAATTTTCCTTCGTTTAAAATGATGTAAAACATCTATTATATCTTAGAATTTCTGATGAAGATTTTTATCATTTTTAAACACTAAAAGTATCACGACTCTTATGATTATATTTACGTTTTAAGTTGTGAAACTATTCTTGGTGAAGATTTTAACATTTTCTTACTAGACACTATAACTGAAATCGAGTAAAAATTAAATTTTATTAGGATGTTAAATAAATTCTTATTCTTCTTTTTCTTCTTCTGTCATTCTCCCCGTCGACCAGTGAAAGTGATTAAGACTGGGCGCCTCGGACACGGCGTCGTATATATTGTTATCAAGGTCGTTGTGAAGAATACACCACTTTGATCTGTTTTAAGGTCAGACGATATGAACTTATACCTGCGACTCCCACTGCACGCGAAGGACTCGCGAAGTAAACGGTCTCCGCCACCGCCGCTGTTACTTCTATAAATAGTACTCGCGGAGTCCAGGAGACGTTGACTATCGCTTGGACATTCACTCATCTCGTTTTGTCTCCATAGTGTTCTTGCGCGTGCAAGCCAATTTCACCTACCAGAGCATCAACTACTTTACAAAGGTAAATATTATACAACCAATATTTAGTAATAATGTCGTCTATTACATTTTTAAAGCGATAAACAGTTGTGTCATTCTATTGTCCTGATTAAAATTACAATCAATTTTTCTTTTTTTATGTTAATTCTTATAATAATGCAGGTAATCGATAAAAAAAATACTTGACTATAATACCATATGAAGGCGCATAGAAAATTATTTATTTATTCTTACCGACGTAAAAGACGATTAAAAAAAACACCGTTTTATAGAATATCATCTTAACTATACGGTTTAATGTCGTTTTTAAATAATAAAGAACAGTTCTAACATTTGATTTACCACGACATAAATGCCTAGTACCATAAACAGTAATTTGGCTTCAACATAAAATCAAATGTTATGAGGAACTTATACATTAATATAATAAAATCAATGTTAAACTATTTTAAAATAAATAAGTATAAACTTTTAATAAGATTTAAAAAATAAACTGTCTAATTCAGTGTTTCTCATTCTTTTTTCATTTGAGTGAACCCCTTGACTTCTCTTAATTGCTTTACGTACCCCCAATTTTTGATTTGTCTATTTTCATATAGTATTTATAAGAAATTATAAAATTAGTTTTATTGGAAAATTAAATTAATAGCTATGAAATATTTATTTATTTTAATCGGTATACGTCTCAAATGTATATCAAATATACTATATATTTTATGATTTATGATAATTTTAATTTGATCTTTAAGGTTGTTTGTTAACACTTAATTTGGTTCCACAGATGATAAGTAAACTCATAACTCACAAAAAGTCTATTACGGTACTTCAATTTTAATGAAAGTGTATGACAATAAAGCTGTTTCCATAAACACAGTGTTCATTGTTAAATATTTTTTAGATAATTTGTTGGTTCAAATACATCAATTTTTAAATTTTCCGTCTTAATCCTTTTTTTCTCAAGTACCCTCTCGTATTTTCTCACGTACCCCTAAGGGGCACGCGTACCCTCGGTTGAGAAACGCTGGTCCAAACTACTAATTTTAAGCAACTATAACCTCGAATTGGTTTACATTTTAATATATACATGTAATTAATAATTTTATATAATTTAAATAGATTATAATAACACATTCTAGTACTTTGTTTTATTTTTTTCACTTAAGCCGTAAATTTTTTATTTTTATATTCGAAGTTAAATATTCTCTTAGAAATATTTATTATTTTATAAGTATTCTAAGTTTAGACATATAAAGGAGTAAAGAAGTAGACACTCCGAAAAATTATCACGACTTCATTCATCTGAACTAGAATACTATTAAGTTAAAAAATTATTAACTATCTATTGGTTCTATTTTCTTTTTTATACACAAGCGAACTATTAAAAAAATATCTCGGTTCAATGTATGTAATTTAAAATAAATGTTTTTATTTAAAAATGAAGAAAACTAAAAATAATATAACAATATTGTGATTATAAGTAAGACTTGCAAAAAAAAAAAAAAATGATTTGTAGCTTTAATTTATCCTAGAACACGAAATTAAAACGAATAGCGAATATATATGTTACCAGCAATATGGATATTTCAGGTACTCGTATTTTGCAAAATTCCTAGACATTAAGCAAATTGCCGAACCATTCTAGGCAATATAAATAAAACATATGATTTTCAACATTATTTTACATATAACCTAGGTATTATTCAAAATGCCAATTTTTTTTAGACAAAGTACAAAACATTTTATTATATGTTATATTACATTAGGATTCTTATAATTGTTATACATTATTACTCATATTACAGACAAAATTTAATTTTTATCTATTATTATATTATTACTATTATATAAATATTTAAATTAAACTACTATTTACTTATTATAACATGTTGTAGAAAAGTGACATTTTGAAATACGTATTCTGCTCATCAAGATTACTATTTACTCGCGCGCAAAACGAAAAACGTGAAGTAGTTGCGCTCCGTACACGTGACCCGATGCAAACGATGGCCCAAACACACCGGAGGCTTGAGTAGCCACCGTACCGTAAAATCAGATACTGCATTTTTGTTGTAATTCCGCCGAGCATTTATACGCGTCGTCGGTCCGTGTATAATTGTATAACAGTCGCATGAAGACTTGAAAAGTTGCGTACCGGAATCAATCGACGAATATAAATAATTCGTTTTTGTCCAAGAGTTATTTATCAACAAAGCGCATAAGTCTTATAAACAATACGAACTGCGTGTACAAACTGCGTACATAAACTGCTCGGATCACTTTGTGCCGGACATCGAATCGAATAACCGTAATATTACATATTTTTAATCGGACGGCGAAAGCGTTTTGGGTCGCGTAAATAAATGCGATCGCGAGCGATTCGAAGGGGGGAAAACTTCGAGTCGCCACTGCGGAGTCGTGCTGCGCGCAGTAGATCGGTATCGTTTTCTCCTCGACGACGACAATAGAAATATGCAGACGGTCACATGGAAAACATAAAGACACGTATCGCGGTCGTCGTTACACCGTACCCGTCCGTCTGTAAAAGGGTTACACAAGTCGCGTAGTTAATGCGTGTTAGGGCTGGGACGTGTGATTAATCGCGTCCGAAACAAAACGGGAATATAATGTAATGTACCCGCAGACAGTGCGTTTCGTGTGTACATTGTTTGGGTACGTGCGTGAGGTACGATTGCGAAATGCGTTTCGTAGCACTGTTTAATCGCCGTAGTTGATTGTTATAATATATACGACGTGTATTCAATCAAATTCGCGCTTATAACGATTCACACACACGCATCGCTCACACATCACACGGCCGTATCATTATTATCACTACCATTATATCACGCGGTAACGAGAAATTAAATCGCACCTTTCATATTTACCTTGCTATCTACATAATGTATACGATAAAAACGATTCGAATCGCTGTTCATTATTTTTATTAGGTACACTGTATTTTTTTTAAAAAAAAAAATTTATAAGTAAGCAGAGTAAACCATCATCAGATATTCGTCTGGTAGCGTTCCTAACGAAATATTATTTCGCAAAACACGTGAAATTCGTTCGGAAAGACGTGATCGATGCGAGACGAGAATTATTAAGTTTATTTCGATCAAGTCGCGTAACGAAGGTATTATCAATTTTATTTGCTACGTCGACTTGCTAAATTAACGCAAGTTGTTGATTTTGTTACACGTTTGCATAAGTAACGAATTGTGATTCCCTCGATTCAATTTTACCGCTCGCGCGAATACATTTTCTTTTCCACGGTGCCTGACACGTTTTTATAGAACCAAGAAACATTTATTAGACCGAAATACTTGTAATTTACATGTAGAATTTTCATCGGTTGACCGAGACGTATTTCAAAAATACACTTTTAATACAATTGATTCCTATGCATGGTACGCGTACGCCGGTGCATACTATTCGCGTCCTAAATTGACAATAGCAGGTAACTTGGTAATTACCAGGGGTAAATTGTGTCCAAGCGGTTAGGACGCAACTTACCTATCGTATTTGTTGATGTGCCAATCGCGGTATGATAATTTTATATAAATTGTTAAAAAACGTTTACAGTTGTTCACAGATACGCAAATTTTTGAGCTACTTATATACGTAGATAATACAAAAATAAAACACAGCTACAATATCGTCATATAATTGTCATATAATCGAAAAATGTTGTTTAAATCAATATTTGGTGGAAATGCATGGAATAACATAATATTAATTCCTTGTTTATCGGCAATCATCGTTTTGGGACGCAAATAATCCGTCAATAAACACGATAGGTAAGTTGCGTCGAAGTGCAATCGAGACGGGTTGAGTGCTCGTGCAAAACCGCTACGCCCTCACCGGTGGAGGTGCAAACAAATCGTTAGGCGTTTCGCGTGCGCAGGGTTATCCGACACGGCGCGCAAGCGTCTAAAAAACATTTTTACACGACAGTGGGAAAATGCGTGCGCAAGTGCAACAGACAGTGCGAGTGCACCGCGTTGCATTCGACCGATGCACGGATCGTCGGATTACGAACGTGTTTGCTCGAGTTCTAAGAGCCTAATCGAACGGATTCACGTTCGTGTACGCTGTCGTCACATCGTTACGCGCGCGCGTTGCACAACAACAAATATCGCAATACTATTATTATTGTTTACAGTTTCGTTTAAAACAACATTTTACCGACGATCGTCAATCGCCAAATCGAACGGCATAATTTTTCATCAGTACACTCTGCAGTGACCGGGTGATATTTTTTCTTCGTACACTCATATTTCATAACGATCGATTCGAATGATTTCCAAGAAGTTTTGTACGATCGCAATATTGATTATGTCACGTGACATTAAAAAATTATCTAAGTATGTGTGTACATTTTTTTTCTAATGTTTTCTAATCGACATACCGAAGATAATAATTATTTTTATATTTTATTTCAAATCATATTTCAGAGACAATGTATGTGTGATTATTCGATGTGAAATTATTAATTTGAGTTTAGATTGGCGAAGTTCTCTAGATAATGCATCAACGGATGCAATTTTTTCCCTCACGACGCTCGTGTCAGTTCAATGTATTGCATCATATATCAGTTTCGTTATGCTCTCGTAGAGTAATTTTGACAATTTTGAAATTTTAGAATTAAAATTAGTTAAAACAGTAGTGCACTAAAGTTTTGCGGTGAAGCAGTCTGTAATACTGATAGTTTCTACTCGAAATGATTATAAATGAATATGTTAGTTTGATGTTTGTGTTTCTATACATTTTTAGAATAATGTGAGAAAATCACACGAAGTATTAACACAATTTAAAACGCAATATTTTCTCCTGTTGTGCATTAGTCAACCGTGAAAAGACTCTTTAACACGTCACTAAAAAAAAAAAAAATTATCCATTATAAGAAGAATAAATACACATGGATATCCAGGAACCGACAACAATACACGTACAGCGGACGTATAATAACATAAATACGATACATAAATACGTTTACACAAAGGACTGCGCGCGCGCGCGATAATGGTAATAATAATACGTCTTGTTGTGTAACTCACGTAGTGCGTGTGTTTATAAAGAGCGCGTGGCTAATGAGCTAACACGCTTTCGTCGCTGGTTACGGCGTAATACGAATACCTATTTGTAAGCTGTTACCGTCAATTTTATACAAGAATAAAAATTGCTTCCAACGATGGGCAATCCAATGATCGTGTCGTCGATGCGTATCGATTTTTTTTCCCCCGATATTATCTACCGATACGACGAGACTCAGCGCGACGCGCTCGCAAGTGTCGATCGTGTCGAACGTGTACGCATATCATTACCGTATGAAAACTTACAAGGATAACGCCTCGATGACAATATGGTATTTGCAGCGGCTAAACCAGAGGTAGCCAACCCAAATGATCTTGCGAGCCACTTTGGAAATACCTTACAATCCTGCAGGCCACATATAAAATTATATTAATATTTGAAACAAACAGAATGAATTATTATTGTTTTTATAACACGGTTCATCATACTTCGGTACAAAGATTTCATTGATGAATCAAACAGTTTATTAATAATACCTTGTTAATAATACCTACGGATTCTGCGTTGTGCGGGCATTCCAGAATATTTTATTTGCACAAAAATAGATTTTTTTTTGTAAATATTTGATAAATCTCGCGGGCCGCAAACTTTCCAAGGTAAACCGCGAGTTGGCTATCCCTGGACTAGACGAACCGTTTATTAATTAATTCCGAGTGGTTACGGGTTCCCGAATCGGATATGTTCAGATCGGTTATAATAGGGCTAATCCGCAGATATTTCGGTCGCCTTGCGTCGGTTCACCAAATAATTACAAGGTACTCGTCGTTGTAAGACCATCGATCATAATGGTATAGACGGATGAATACACCGCGTTGTGGCGGCTGTTTGTACAATATGTTATACTGTTACATGCACTCGTAATATAGTATGTGAATCGATCGAAAATTAAAAGTGCATGTGAAAACTCAACGTCGTGGTTCGATCTCTGCAGATTTTCCGTGGAGATTGATTATGATTTTAGAATGACACGAATAAAAAACTTGTTGCACTTGCTTATCTATAATACATGCTTGTTTTAGGAACGTATAATATAAATATATTAATTTTATTAAATATTTAACGAAAATCTTTTTAGGTGATTTGAAAAGTATATAACTAATTTATCGTGCAGCGTTTCGTTAAAATACTTAAAACCGTATAATTAAATATTTTTGTAATATACGAAATATTAACAAACTCGTACAAATTAATTGAATTGAGAAATGAATAAATTATTTTAAATTGAGTATATGTGAAACTCGTCCTATTTTTTTAAAATAAATAAACAAGCAAAATAAAAATGATTATTCTATTGTATTGTTTGAAAAATCATACTTTCTTAAAACTATAATTCTAAAATAACATTATAAAAATGAAAACATCTCATATGAATGCTTTTATTATTATAGATACAGATATGGCCGGAACAGTATCGTTCGGATTGTTTGCCTTAGCATTGACTGTGACAGGCTGCTTGGCTGCTATCGGCGAGGTAAAGAACAACAGTCCCGTCACACAGAAACCGGGTCGTTTCCTCAGTCTACCGGTCCCCCAGAAATGTAGCCAAAGTAAGTGGATCGCGAAACTTTTATAATGTGTACCGAATAATAATCCGTCAGAGGAGGTCCGAACGGTATTGACTAAACTAAAAAATTAAATATTCATTGAATATTCCACCCGTAAAACGGATCTAAACCGTTAATTGTCACTACATGTACACATGTCGTTTACCCTGAGTGTATTATAAGGTTTACGGATTTTGATCTTAGGTCTGAGGTGGTCGTCACTCTGAAATCACGCAAAATCTTTACCCGACAATTCCAATATGATAGTCATTGTATACTGTATTGGCACTGTTTGATAATAGTTTACATTTTATTTTTGTGACATTTTCTATAAACACTACTAGTACCGGCTGCTGTTCGGCTTAATAAACATTCGCTTTCAAATCAGACTTTTAAAATCGTTTAGAGCGCGATGAATTTACATACTTGTTTTCCATCCTACTATGGACCATATGTATGTATATTACATAATTATTGTTTCTATATAATCTGCACGTTAATTTATTCCGTCGGCAACGCACCGAAAATCAGTAGTGACTACTATAGTGGCAATCATTTTAATGACTTCACTACGTTTCCTGCTCGACTTTTGGTTTAGTTCGCTTATTTTACAATTATAACACATGACTATACTGCTTTTCATCTTTTGTCAACAACAGTTCAGCGATGATATTTTCACGGGTTGGGTATTGTACGTACTCGAGTGCACGAGGTTTGTTTTTTTCTTCCCGGGTGTACATCGAAGGAACAATTAAATCACTAAACATTATTTTACGTTATTGATCTACAGGTATATAATTTATGCTTGGAATTATTTATAATCTGATAAAAATTTTACTTATTTGTTCAAATAATTACTAAAAAAAAAAAAACAGTCGAAAAATAACATTATTACGAACATATAACGGTAGACTAACTTTTACAGTATACTAATTTAACAAGATAACTAACTTGTATTTATTTGTAATTACAATACATTTACACGTAATGAAGTTGCACCTCAACATTATTTTTGTGTCGAACTATAATAGTTATAATACTAATAAGTTATAACTATTATAATCGCCCGATTCAGCGTAAGCAATTAAGCCTTTAAAACGTGCACGTTGTTTTATTATAATCCCGTATATACTTGAATAGTATTTCGAGTATTTTACTTTGAAATATTCACCGTATCTTGAATACTTTTGAAAAGTATTCCTTATACGTGTATAAAAATACTCTTTTAATGGGTCAATAGCTGTTCAACATCACGTTCATCGTAAGACACCGAGCAGAACGTAAGAGTATTTAATTCAATTTTTAAAACGTATCAGTCAGTTAAAACACCGTCTAAAACCCAATCGAAATTCCTTTGACCACACGTTATCGGGTATTCGAATAATTACAAGTCCCACAGATGTTCGTTGCACATTCATTATAAACATTACCTGTTGGGAATTGTGTTGTGCTCAAGTATAATATACAGTTAGCAGTTAACAGATTGACACACATGACATTATGCGTGTTTACTTTTCGCGGCCGTGACTTGGGACGATTTCCCTTTCGTCCGCGCCGGATCAACAAGTGTAATTTAATACCGTCGTTAATGCATGCATCGCGTAACGGCGGTATGCACATAGTAATGATGGTGTTGATAATAACAATAATTATGGTCTGAAATTACGCACACTGTCTGACGACGACCCTTTATGTCTATCATGACTGCACAATCCGATACGACCAAATGTTACAAGCCGTTAATACGCGTTGTGTACCTACTCTGGCCACGGCCGTCGGGATGATTTGCAATGGTATTGGGCGAAAAGGGTTGGGCCGATTAAAAATACGATTCGTAGAAGTCCGCAGACGAATTACATATTCTTATACAGCCCATACGATTCGTTAAAGTCTTAATGCATATTTATAAAATTAACGAGTAATGGATCGTTAAAAAAAAACACTGTTCACACAATATTTTACATCTCGTAATATATGGCACAATAATACGTCAATAAAATAATTTTATACTTGTATAAACCTATTTAACACATTGTTTCAAGACAGGTTTTGTGTGTTAACGGTATTTTTTATCGACATAATATTTTCTAACACATGTATAACGTGTGTTTGATAGTAATACTTCACATGTGCCACATCTCATTTTTCAAACCGCGGTAAGATATTATTTCATCTAAAGTTTTACCCATTTTATCTTACCGTTAAACTGGTAAACAACTGTGCGAAAAATTACTAAAATGTTTATCTCTCGGAAATTTTTGTACCCGTATCTTCAATGTTATACTAAAACGTTGTATTGACTTTGTTTCAACATACACTCGATCTCAGTCTCAAGCCAATGTCTTCAGTTTCGTCTTTTGGCCGCGGCAAAAGCCAATAGTTAATACCTACTGTTCATGTCTGCGTCAAAAACGTTCAATCTGTGGACAAAGTGCTTCTCGTTTTCGCTTTTCGATTTCTATGAAATTATTTTTGACGATATACGCCTCGGCATGTGCAATCTAAATCGCAATGTACGCGGCGGCGCAATGATACTGTTAGTTATGTGTGATATTTTTCGTTTCCTGCAGGACCGAAGGAGTTCACGTACAAAGGACGCAATTACTTCTACAGCGGACACACGCAGCAGTATAAAACGTCCAAAGTCGATTGGTTGGAAGCGAGAAACATCTGCCGGGAGTACTGCATGGACCTTGTGTCGATCGAGACCCAAGAGGAAAACAACCTCATCTTCCGACTGATCCAACAAAGTGAGTATTGATCCTACCACCCGTCGGCCAAACTATGCATGGACATAGTAGTTGTAGATTATTACCTATTACATCGCATAATCGTGAATTCACACTGATCAACGGGCAAAATGTATATTACCTGTTCACGTATTAATTTTGGAACCAGCAACCGAAGTTATTTGATTACCGTGTACGTGACGTACTCCGACAGTCCATCCGTTAATGTACTGTCGTTAACGAAAGTCCCGCGATACAGGGAAAAGATACAAAATCAATTATACAAATTCCGATTTTTATTCATTTTTTTTTTTCTTCTTCTTTCTTTACGCTGCCCAGCGTGTTATTATAATAAAACTGTGTGTTCTTAACATCAACCTAGTGTATTCTTTCCAAATTTCGAAATAAATAAATAAAAAACACGTGCAATGTGATTGTGTACGTTTTCGGTAATTCTTATATTATAATGGCTGTATGTAAATCTGTTTCATTCCACCGCTGTGGGAGTGCTGATTAATGAGAATCGAAATCCAAGACAAGGGCGTTACTCTCAGAACATACGTATTGCATTCTCACTCACGTCGATCGTAATTTTTTGACGTTATTGTTTCGCGAGCGTATCGTGTATTTTCCTATGTATTTCTATTGCAATAAAAACTTCACCTATATATTATGGTCATTGTTCTATGCGTCTCAAGGCGAACGAGCCATTAACATTGTGTCTAGATCGGATTTTTTTCAACCAAACACGGCCCGATCTGGCTCAAAATGGTTTTGAACAATATTAGACGGTCCCCGCGTTTACCCGCGGCGATACAAAAACCGCGGTGTTCGGTGCGGTAGACGAACCGTTACACAGAGTTGAACGGACAAAGCACAGATCTGCAGCGACCATCGTAATGATGTTAACATTCAGAACGACGTGCGCACCACGTGTACAAATTGTTTTAAATGGTGTTTAAGGGTTTTTTCGACGACCTTCGTCAAACGGCGGTCACCGCGAACATTTACGGACAAAGAACCGTCGTTGGCAGACGTCAACGTTGATTTGCGATCCTTGCACGCGCACGGTGTTGATGTGTTCACATTATTTCGCGTGTACGCGTTTTTGTAACGTGCGTGCACCGCGACGCAAACGAACACCGAAAAACGTTCCGATCCCGTTGGCCGCCGAGTCGTTAGCGCGCCCGAGCGATAAGCAAACCGCGCGTTAACGAACGCGGACGAAGTTAACACCGCGTCGCACAAAGACCGGCTCGCAGTTACCGTCGAATGCAGGCGATTGAGCAGTAACACGCGTGCCATGTCCTGGGCGTAAATCGCGTACTTCGTAGCACACGCTTCCTATTACCGTACCGATAACGTCATAATTCATATATTTTACGCGTCCGACCTCATCCCGCGTCCTAATCGTCTTTTGGGTAGAAACCGTTTTGAAAACGTTTTCGTCGACTATGCGCGCAACATAAGCGGAAATCGGGGGGGGGGGGCTTGAGGAGACTAAGCCCCACCAGAAATGTGAAGTACAGTTCTTAGTCCCCCTGGCCCTAAACATTTTTAAGTGACTAAAAATATAATACTTATTATAATTGTAAAATGCATTTTTAATAACTGAATTAAAAAAAAAATATTATGATAAAAATTAAATCAAATTCGTAAGATTTTACTAACTTATTGTCATGACTTGGAACGATCGTAATTAATGTAATATCAATAATATGTAATAATACCCCCATTGGTTGTTTAATTTAATTAACTAATAATTGTTGTTTAGAATACCTACTCCAAAAATGGTTAAGATAAGGCACCTAATTGTTTTTTTGGTTAAATTGTTGAGTACACCAAATTGTCAAACTTTGTAAATCGCCTTGTTGAAATAAATAATTGTGTACAGGGGTACCTATAGGTGTAATAGGCAAATAATGCTCAGCCTCCTCCGCTAATTTCATCAAATTTCCGCTTATGGTGCGCAACAATATTCGTAACAGGTTGTTCGTCGCGAACCGTTCTATTCACGATTCCTCCAGCGGTGCACGATGAGAATGTTCGACGGAATCTCGTTCAAAAAACACGGTGACAACTTCTCGTGATCTGGCAATAAAGAAGTCCATTGGATGCCGTTGCAATACACGGTCGGTAATATCGAAAAACACGATTCGCGAAAACCGAGAGAAATGTCGAATCAATCGATCACACGCCTATTATTTTCGATTTTATACTATTTACCAATTTCCGTAACGTCTTGTGACTCGACGTAAACCCGAACGTGTCCGTATAACGTAAACTGAATTGAAAACATGTCGTTATCGATCACATCGTCGCCTTTCGACCACTGACTGCAATGCAATACGCGGTAAAATAAATCACGAATTTTCCGACTCAAAAATTAAGAGAAAAACATTTTCGGGCTGCACGTTAACATCGCAAAATCATGTTCGACGAAAACGGTTCTAAACTGCGTGCGACCCTTCGTTATTATAATCTTCTGCCGAACAAATTTCACGCATACATGTATAATTGCCGTTGTGATATGTGAAGAATATTTCGTTCACGTATTCTCGATGCTTTTGGAATACTATTTTGGCTAAAGTAATTTCAAATACTTTTTAAACAATATTAAAGTAAAAAAATACCTGCTACAAAAGTGTTTCGTTACATTTTGACGTTTTCACGTTAACACGATAATTTTATTTTATCGACTTTAACCACGAAATAATTACCAAAACAATTTAATAAACCATCAGAAAGAGCAATAACGACAAAAAATATTTGAAATACAATTTGAACACAACATAAAAAATGTCCAATCTGTATCGGGATTGTGATGAGTTCACCAAAAGAGACTAAACTAATTGGAAAAATCAAGTTCAAACAAAAATATAGAAATCAAATCAGTTATCGAAAGGATTAGAATAAAATATAAATTTTTTAAACGTTACAATGTCCTCATTACTCGGATGTGATAATTATTACACTATCACTTCGATACAGATGTCTAATAAAAACTGATTGTATAACTACACTACGGTAAGCCTAGCGTGTATTGGAAACAATTATGTGAATTTCGCTGTACCTTTTTCTCTCCACTATTATCTGATTGCATATTATAATGTACTCGCTATACAGGAACATGCAACATTAGTTCATTATTACGTAAAACTAAAATGTCAATAGAAAATACAAAACGATTTTAACATAGGTCCATACACCATACTACATGTGTATAAATTTAAAAAATTTAAATTAAAATTAAAAACATAAGTTTTGACCTCCCTGTCAATGTACAATAGACCTGTAAATTTCAACAGATTTCCGCCTCAATGCTATGTTCAAACCTAGTTAATTGTTAAAAAAAGAAATTTGTCTACATTATAATAAGGTTTTCGTTTGAAACAAAATACAATAAATCGGTGGTAAAATTTCTGTCATTTGAGAAAAGTTCTTCTTCCTCGTTCCTACTTCACATCATAAACTGTTTAAAAAAAAAGTACCTATTTAACAATATTTCCAACAATAAATTAATTTTATTCATCAAGTCATACGTTATAATACGTTATATACATATTAATAAGTATATCTACTACTACTTTGTAGAATAATTGTGGCCCAATATTAATGCACACATCAAAATATAGCAGTACGAATTTTCAAAAATCGTTTGCTTTTTTACATTTGCAACGTAGGTACTATACAGACAAAATCGTGCAATATGTGTATATCAACAATGAACTTAATTTGCATACACCTTAAAATGTAAACTCTATCAATATACTTACAACCTTAAAATATACAACTCTCATACAACGCATATATCAAGACGGGCAGAGACAAGAGTTTGATTTATTAAGCCGTTTTTTTCTGTTTAGATAAACCATAACAATATTGTCTATATTCAATTGATTCGAATATTATCACCTGATATCTCGTAATCAAGCAATCAACTTTTGAACTTTTCTTAGTTTTCCATATAACACGATGATGTAATGTTGTACAGAAAAACTATAAAGATTTAGAATTTTGTTAGCTTGAACTGTACCAAAACTTATAATTTACACGAATATTGAATATATATATTTATTTTTAAAACTACAATACCTTCTTAAGTACAAACACTGGTCTATTACTCAGAATAGTATTATAGTGCCTAATGTGATAATTTATTATTGCTCTGAAAATAAAAATCATACAACCATCAGGAATCATTAATATCCTGTCGAACGTCACTTTTTTTCAGTTAAATTTGAATTTTAATAACTAAATATTGACCAAAAATACATACTTGCATTAAAATAATCCGATGTTATGAAGCCATTAAGATTCACACAAGCACAAATTATAATTTACAAGATGTAGGTAAAAATTTGTAATTTACAAAAGGAGGCATTACCATTCTAGGCAATTAAATTGAGTAAACGATTTATTTATTATATTTTACTACATTTTTTTTATTTTTAAAAATGTGATATAAGTACTATTTATTATTAAAAGGACACAAGTTTATTCTTTCTGGAGCACATATACTTTAGTAATATAAAAAAAAATTAGCATTTAAGAATAAAAAATAAAAAGATACAAACTAAAATCTAAAAGTATAAGATTAAATTAAAAAAAAATTTGTAAAAAAAAATTACAATAATGTAATGTAAATATAAAATTATTTTGTACTATAGTCAGTAAATTAAAATACAACTGTAAATGTAAATAAAAAATGAAATTCTGCCATAATATTAGAAGAATCGTTGATCTCCATACCTGTTCTGAAACAGACAAATGTATATATTAGTTACAAAATCGATTTAAATGCATAAGAAGGTGTTTATATAAAGTTATTTATATCAGGGATAAGTCATGCATTACACTACACACTCTTTACTTGTATTAGATCTCTCACCTAATAAATTACAATTTTATTTATTATTATTTTTGCAATAACTATAATAAAAATCAGACAATACCACGCGTTAATATGTTATTTGTGTATGAACCTGCGAATAAGTCAATTTTTAATCATTGTTGTCGAAACGTATAACAATGACCCAAAATAAAACGTTCACTTATGATTTTTATCTTATTTTTGATAACTTTTTTTACTCAAAATATATATACTGCTCTGTTATGGATTGTTAATTTGTACATAATATGTGAAAAACAAAATATGTATTTACCCTCGGTGCAGTATATAAATTTTTCGTATAGTCTATAATAACATACATAATTAACCAATTTATAGACCGTGGACGGCAAACGGTGCCCACAGCAATAACAATAATAAGAGTTATTTAACTGCTAAATTTTTATTCTGCAGATGACGCGCCGTACATATGGACCAGCGGCAGGCTGTGCGACTTTAAGGGATGTGAGAACCGCTCTGACCTAGAACCGAAGAACGTGAATGGCTGGTTCTGGTCGGCCACCCGCGGAAAAATACCGGCCACCAACCAGACGCCGGCCGGTTGGACGTACAGCCCGTGGAGCAAGAGCGGCCACAAGAAGACGCCGCAGCCGGACAATGCGGAGTTCGACATCAACGGCACCGTGGAGTCGTGCTTGAGCGTGTTGAACAACGTGTACGGCGACGGCATCGCGTGGCACGACATCGGTTGCTACCATGAGAAGCCGTTCGTGTGCGAAGACAGCGACGAGCTGCTCAACTACGTGGCCGCCACCAATCCGGGGCTTCAGCTCTAAGACGCGACTAGCCAACATTACCTATTCGACTACTCTCCTCCCCAATCTAGCACTTAAACACCCCATATCGCCCAACTCGGTATTCGCGTTCACCTCCATCACCGGGACGTTACACGGCCGGGTCATACTTTTCGTAAACTTCTAGACCCAACTTACGCAAATGCCTTTCAATAAATTTATCAACATTTTTTTTCGTAATAATTAAATTTCTACGAAAGTAGGTATTTTATAGAACCGTATATGTTCTCCATATTTTCTATACATAAACTGGGGGGCGAATCGCATATATTTTCTTGATCCACCCCATTTTAATCATATTTATCGTTCATGTCATCATCATTTTATATACGTGTATATTTAATAAGCTATATACTATTATTATTTTATTTTATAATTTTTACTAATTTCGGTATTGTAAATGTGAACTTTTGTAAGCACAACACAACTCGATCGTTTTCTTAACTATTATTTTTTGTATAAATAAACGTTCAAAAAATAAACATTTTTTTTTTTTATATACCTATCCATACTATCCATAAATATTGTAGTTCTATCTTTACGTACAAGAAACATTTATTGTGCTTAATTTCATATTACATAAAATAATAAAAAATCAGCATTAACAATTACAATAAAATACAGCTGAAAAATATACTTATTATACATTTTTAACTACTTTCAAATAGTTCAACTAGTAACAGATTTTCGTAGAAACAAAAGATACAAAATATAACAAAAAAAGTGCAAATAGTATTTGTATCACATTTAGACTTAAACTAAATAAAAATATTCTCAGTTAGAATAACAAGGTCCACCTAATATTTATGAAGCTAAAAAATGTAACGATTATCTGTTAAGAAAACATTTTACTAGTAACTAGAAGAATGTAACTAGTTACAAAGAAAATAAATAGACATAGAATTGCAATTTATTCACCAAGTTTCTAACTGGGGTTTATACTTAATAATATATTAAAAAGAGACTATGTTAATTTCTAAAATTTCAAAAATTATTGATTAGATTTATTATTTGGTCAAGTTTATTTTATTCTTTTCGATGCTATATCCATGTGGATGAAATATTTTTAAATTAATTTGCTTTATAGAACTACAGTGATTAAAAAATAACTTAAAACTTTTGCCAGATTTAGTTTATCAAAATCAATTACATTACATTACATTGGATGATGCTAACTGTTTTATATAATTCCTAAAAATATATGGTAATTAGTTGAAACACCTTATGACCTGAATGGTAAAGGAAATCAATTACATTACATTACATTGGATGATGCTAACTGTTTTATAAAATTCCTAAAAATATATGCTTATTAGTTGGAAACCTTATGACCTGAATGGTAAAGGTACTGAAGGAAGCACTGTCAATGTTATAAAAAAAAAATATATGAAATAATCTTGATATGGATATAGCTACTAAATAAAATAAATTATTGGTCAATTACGAGAATACTCCTCAAACAACCAGGAAACTCCAAATAAAATATTATTAGATAAATCTGTTAGATTTATGAAATAGTTTAAAGGAAACAAATCTAACAAATTCACAACAGTGGAAAGAAGAGATATTATATTTATATAATATAATAAGAGCAGAAGATACAATAATTATTAATAGTAATAGTTATTAATTACTAAAAATACTATTTTGAAAATAAATTAGTGTTAGCAAAGGATAGAAGACACTCAAAAAATTAATGGAAATCTTTAGCTATAAAAATATTAGGTATTAAATAGTAGGCAACACAATTTTGATAGTAAATAAGTTTTTCTGAATAAAAATATAACTTATGATAAAATTATATTTGTCTCTATTTATAAAGTTAGTATAAGATAAAACAGAAGAGGGATGTTTAATAAAATTAAAAATTGGGAAAGAAAACTCCACCTACAAGACAAACATTTTGTATAGATTACTTGACGGTGTTACTGATAACTAACTAGTTATTAATGTGTTGGTGATTTCAAGTAATTCAACTTTTGAGTTACCTTTGACTTATGTAATTTCAAAGTATTACTGCCCAACAAAGCTTTTTTTTGTTTTATTAAGAAAATTTGTAAAAACGAACAAACAAAAAATTAATTTAAAGTTGGCGGAAAAAGTGAAAAAAGTATGGAGTGAAGTGAGAAGATCATTAAACATATTAGGTAAATAATATGTAATAATGTAATTATAAAATAAAAAATAAAAATAAAATTTAAAAAAATAAACATTGACGTTTCAATTATTATTACATAATAATAATAATAATGTTAATGCAGTTACTGAAGCAGACAATATATGTATTTTTTGAAGCTATTTTTAAAAAATTTAAATAAATTGCACCGACTTCATTTTTTTTCAAGATAAGGATGAACCCAAAAACTTTTATTTTTTTATTTATTTTGTAATAGTAGAATGCTGTCATTACTTTTTTGTCGCTAGAATCAATATCTACACCAATGTTGCAGCAAAATGATAAGAATAAGATAAATGTTACACAAAACAAACTACAGATTTCGATCACAAGTGGGTATAATTTGAGTAGCCTCATATATAGATTCAAGTCACCAATGTGTTAGTAACCAATTACTAATTTTAATAAAAAAAAAACTTAATTTCTATTGAATAGCTCTGTATGCAGAAGACCTAAATCTTAAAAATATTTGTTACACAGAAGATAAAATGTGGCTCATAAAATCTATGAACTATAATAACTTATAAACTGTTATGGGTTATAATATTAAAATTTATTAAAAGATTGCTTAATAATAATAATCTGCTTTTGAGTTTGAGCTTTTTGATACATCATAACATATTCTATCTATTGAATATTTACAATGTAAAACATTCGCAAATTCAAATAAGTGTACACAAATACATGTGTTATAATTCTTATATTGGCAGAAGTATTTATTTGAACCTTGAAAGAACACTAAGTGTAGTATACTTAAGTGTTATTTTTTATAACAGTTAAAAATTAAAAGAACATACAATTTATAAAAATTCAGTCATCTAGAATTATTATTTTAAATGTAGTATATTTAAAAACATTTTAAATATAAAAGTTATTAACTTTTCTTTTTTAGATTTAGTACAAAATATTTATTTATTCGGTATATTTGGTATGTCAATGTACGATTCTACTTGGCTTAAGATAAATGTTTTGAAAAAACAATTACTGATATAATTAAAGGAATTATGGAAAAGCTTACTAGTTACATGAGAATCAGAACATTATAAAGAATTTAATGTTTAACCTTTGAATTTGTAACTAAAAAATATTAAATTGTAAATATATTCAGTAAATTTTAATAAATTTAAACCTTTACACAATTATTCTACTCTATTTTATTTTTTATCAAAATGTTATTTATTTAATATATTTTACAACATTCACTACTTATAATCTTAATTATTATGGGATAAGCCTTAAAAACATATATAAAATTAGTAATAAGTATAAAAATATTATATTATTTTATTATACATGTAAGGAATCTGATGTGGTTTTTTCTATAAATATTTCTTTGGCTAACAGTTATCAAGTCTATTCATCAATTCATCAATTTTTATCTTTTATTAAAAATCTTACATTGTAAATTTTTTTATTTAAATAAGAATTCAAAATCCCACAACACAAGTTTAGCTTTTAGGGAAGTTTGTAACATATTAAAGTTTTAGTTTTTTATTTTTTTGTTGAAATCTATTACAAAATTTAATTCAAAGTAAATATATTTTATAATATAAATATCACAAATACTTGATTTATAAAAATACCATATTTTCAACTCCATAAATAATATTATAATTATTATTTACCCTATTACAGATATTCACCATTTTAAATCCTAATTTTTAATATTTAGAATACACTCTACCGCAGTGGTCTTCAACCAGTGGGTTGCGACCCAATTTTGGGCCAAGTAAACTTTAACATTGGGCCATGATACGTCTTGTATAAAATTTCAAAAAATTCATATTTATATATATTATATCATGTATTTCATATGATATCGGATAAAACAATTTTTGTACAAGCCCAAAACCATACTATTTTATACTATTTTATATTTATAAAAGATTAGAATGAACCCTTTTTTTTTATTCACTCATACATAATTAGAAAAAAGCCTCAACTAATATGAGATACATGCCACTAATCATTAACTGTCAAACACATAGTGGAAGAGTGTACACAATATACCTCAATACGCACCGATCTGAACATAGTAAAAGTACTTTGCGAAAGTAAAACTCTGAAAATTATCATATTCTTTAGTATCACGAATATTATTAGTAAATCTTAATTTTACACCTAACTTCATCTATACAATATGTCATATGTAATATTCTAATTTTATATCTAACACCTAACACATTTAATATGTAACATCTAATAGCTAATAATATTTGTTGTTTAAGCTTTATTATCAAATGAAAAAAAAATGAACAATCAAATCATACATCATTATATGATAAATGTATCATCACATGCATTTTTTTATAATATTACTTATAATAAAAATTAAATATCATCTAGATACCGAGAAATATATATATATATATATATATATATTAATTTATTCAGTTATAAAAGAACTTCTACAATCTTTTTTATTTGGTTTTCATGGCTAACGAAGTTGACATGGGTCACGTAAAATGTTTGGTAAGACAAGTGGGTCGCAGTTTGAAATGGTTGAAGATCACTACTGTATACACATGATCCAATAATCTAGTATACTTATTTTAAAAGATTTTAAATCTATTTTACAAATATATATATATATATATATATATATATGTAAAGTAGATTTAATTTTTTGTTTACCAAACAATTTTACAAATTATATAAACAACAATTCTACTACTTTTCAAATGTATCAGGTTTAAGTACAATTATACATTAAATAATTAATTTAAAATACTATGAAGTATACATACTAAATGATCTATGATCTTGAGTATATGTTGACATTAGAGGTTTTCAAATGAACCTGATTGCTCATATCGTAAAAGCTCTCGGCTCAATGCGTCTATTTTACCTTGTATATATCTCAATATATACTCTATATTTTCAATATTATAGGCCATATTATGAACACCACTCCTTAGTGCTGCTATGTCATGTAATGTACGAAGTTTAAATTCTAGAATAAAAACAATTAACTAATGAGCATGCAAAATGTTATCTTTAATTTCATAATTAATTTCAAACCTTCGGTTAAGATGATTGGTCTTGGATTAACATCTGAAACATTATTAAAAAGTAAACATCCTGAAGGTGAATTACCTGTGTTTTTCTTTTTGGCTGGTCGTCGAGTAGCATCAGATGAACCTAAAAATAAATATATATTGCTTATAAAAACAAATGATAAATGTAAAGATACTAACCCTTTGAAGTCTTTTTAGCTATCTTTTTCAATGTCATTGTTGTTATTGAAGAGGTAACAATTTTTGAAGTTCCAGATTCTTTACCAGAAGATTCTAATAAATATTGCAAATAAAAACAAATTAATAACGGTTTTTTTTAATATTTATAGAGATATGATTAAGTGTTACAAAATATTTACTATTTTATACCTTAAATATATACTATTTATAATTCTTATTTTCCTTCTACAAATATTGTTAATTAATTTAATTGTTACTAGAATTTATTACCACAAATAAAATCATGATTATATACAAGGAACATTGGTCACACTGTTGAGTAGTCTTACCACAGAATAGATTGAATCAGAATGGACACTGATAAATATTATACTTGCCCTTATGAGAGTACGGTAATTTAAACTAAACTATGCTCAGTGTTAGCGTAAAACAAAGAAGAAAATAATATTGAATACAATTCAGTTATTTCCGCTGCAGCACACATATGTACATTACTGATATATCTATAGAGACTAATAAATAACTGGAGTATAGGAAGTTGATGACCTTAAAAACAATAAAAATTATCTAGAAAAAGATGCAAATATGACAAAAAATGTCCTTAAAAAATGACCTAAAAAATTACAAATATTTTTTTAAATTAATAAAAATACATTTTTTTTTTATATTTTACTTTATTTTACTGTAACATTCTATATAATTTATCAAAACTTACAAATTACTCAAAATATGACATAAAAATGACAACAAATGTCCTTAAAATATGAAATTAAAAAATTACAAATATTTGTTTAATAAATTGTCCAAAGCTTACAAATTACTCAAAAGTCAGAATAATTGCATTTTACAATTAGAGCGTATTTGATGTTATCAAAAATAAATGAATGATGATTATCTGTTTATAAATATTTATATTTAGAAAAATTTCTTTCCGCATTCACTGAAATGATTGGGAAGCACAGACAAGCGCACTAACCGATGTTTTAATTTTCGTCTTTCAAAAATATTACGAAAAAAATAATAAAATTAAGATATAATAGGTAATATCATAGATTAAATATAGTAATATATTTAATCTATGGTAATATTCACTATAAAATGACACCGACACGATGACTGCAATCGACGAGATAAAATCGGATACTAATCAAATATAAGAAAAAAATAATAAAATGTAGGTATAACATTATTAACTACAATACGAAAATTTCAAATTTAATCGGCAAGATAAAATCGGACAAGTCTTAAGTTATCGGCGTAATGGTCGACAAGTGAACTAGTGTGAAATCAATTAAAATGACTAAAAATGTCAAAAAATAACTTAAAAAGTAATAAACACCAAAAAAATGCAAAATAAAAATTAGCTACTCAGATTCACATGCTAATGAAAGACATTAGTGGTCAGGAGAGCAGTCTAAAATGTTCTAAAAAAAAAAAAAAAATGCAAAATGCATCAACTTCCGAACCCTTATAACATAATATGTTAATTTTTAATACGGAATAGCAGATTCTTCTATAACAGGGGTGGGCTGTCGTGTGTGTTAAATGTATTATTTCCGTGTATATAAATGCTAATTACAATTCATATTTTGAATGAACTTTTTTCTTTTTCTTTTTTTGGTTTTCTATTGTCTGGCTCGCTAGATTTAATTGTTCTAAAAATTGACTTTCTAGTAACTTTGAGTTGCCCATCCCTGCTTTATAATATTTTCAATTGGAAGTATGCACTTATAAGTAATATTATTTCTTTGAAATCATCGATTGTGTATTTTTTAATATTAATAGATTGCAGTAAACTCATTGGGATGAAAAGAAAAAAAGTCCTGCAATAGCATTCAGCAGAATCTGTTTCATAATTTGGTTGATTTTTTTTATTTTGCTGTAATAGAAGGAATTTTATTACCTGCGATAATTTGTTTTATTACATTTAAGGAATTATAATAAATATCATAAAAAATAACTTTGGTTGCACTCTATTATTTTTAAATATAGTCAATAAATCCTGGAAATGATATGATTTGAAATCTACTATCAATTTGTAAACTATAGTTACATTTTCAATAGAAGACAGAGCATATGATATTTGATAAAATATCCATATATTACTTCGGGTAAGGAATTTCCTAGAAATTATCTTTGTTCAATATTTATCGTTATATGATAATCGTCAATACAATAATAGTTGTGCATTTTATATTTATTTCCTATACTAAATACTAATAATAATATTTTAAAGAAATTAATAAGTTCATATTATTTTCCAGGGGAACAGGCCCCGTCTTGTCCCCATAAATAAGCACCTATGATTACGAACTGTGTATTATTATTTATTTATTAACAGAAGTTCCTTATTACAGTGAAAATCGATCACCTTGTTATTTAACTTAAAAAAAAAGAGAATGATGTACATATTTAATTTGACATAATTATTAGTAATAAAAAATAAACTCAAGTATCAAAGGAACTTCAAAAATGATGTAGCAAAACTAAATTAATTAAAAATGTATAAATAGATTCTTACTTTTCTTCGTGTATTTTCGTTTGGACATTAAAATACTTCAAGTATTACTTCCACTAGCAACTAAAATGTAATTATTCATTTTAGAATTATACTTTTATAAGATGAATAAAAAAATTAGCCGAGAATATAATAGTATACATTTCATACATATTATTTACATACCTTACACATTATAGCATGATATAATTTATCATATATTAATGTTAACAATCAACATTTTTATATTTATAAAATATAAATATAGTATTAATATAATTTAAATATTATGTTTTGATTTCTATACATCATTTTTAACTTAAAATAATAATTTTTTATTCTAATTTCAAGCAACATTTTTTTCTTTTGATTTTTGTTTTCTTTCTGTTCTCACTTCCTTTTTTGATTGTTATAAACAGAGCTCATGATTTAAAGTATTTACATATTTTTTTTGAAAAGTCCTAAAAATACCTATGTGAGCTATACATTTGTTTTCGATAACTAAGAAGTTAATTACGAAATTTTATGTTGATATTTATGCATATTTCAAGGTATAAGAACTATTTTGCAGACTTTTTTTTTTTTAAATTTGCCTTTGTTCGCACATTACAACAAAATTTTATAGACCAATTCTTGCATATTTAGAAAATTATTATTTGCTCTTTTGCTTTTTAAAATCTTTTTTAGTTCTGTAGCATTTACAACATTTTTTCTTAATAATTATAAGTAATTATGGTAGTATTAATTTTTATATTTATAATTAATTCATGTTAATTAACTAATTCTTCTTCTTTTGGTTTAAATTATATATTTATTTGTATCATATAGCGATGCGATCAGAATTTAATTTTTTTTTTATACATGATACTTTTTTAATAATAAGTGAAAATTATTTTTTTATACATGTTTTTTTTTAATAATAAACAGAGATATAAAATTTCATGTTTTCATGAAACTTTTCAAAACAATTGAAACTTTTGATTTAACACTTTTATGTACCTTTAATTTGTTTTGTACACGATTCGATAGTTTTTTTACACATCTAAATAATATTATCAAATTATTTAAAAGTGATTTATATAATGCAATTATTAGATGCTGGCCATTTTAATGGCATTTAATGGTAATCATTGAATACCTACTAATAATAATTATATTGAAGTATAATATAAACTTTAAAAACTAATTATTATTTATTATTAGATAATATATTTATTGTACTATCTAGCAACTAGCAAATAATAATTTAGCTATAGAAAATTAACTTGATAAAAATTAATAGCAGATACCAGTGGCACCATATACCTACTACAATTACAATCATAGATATTTAAACTATTGTTCTATTACTTATCTATTGGTGTATGCGTATGCGTACGATTATGAAATTTAATTTTTGATATTGAAAAGTTACAATACTTTTCATTTCAATAGCCTTGAAACTTTTCAAATTTCATGAAAAGTTTCACTTGAAAATTTCTGAAACTTTTCAATCTCACATCTCTGATAATAAATAAAAATTTTTATTTTCACGTTATATTTATTTTTGCATATTTTTATATTTTTAATGCATACTTAAGTGCTTATATGAATATTTTTAGGAGCATATTATAGAGCTTATAACTACTTTTTTTTAGAGCTATAAGTTATGAGCCCTGGTTATAAATATTAAATAAATAAATATATACTGTATATAAAGGGCTCATCTAGTTAAATATTAATTAATTAATTATAATTTTATATTATTAATTTTCTCAATGTTGTAAGTTAAAATGTTATCGACAGAATCTAAAGCAAATATTGGCGTATACAGTCTTAAACATAGATGCTTCTAAAAGGTCATATAAAGTATTTTCTTACTGAATGTTGATATACTTTTATTTTTTAAAAATATCAAATGTTACTTAAGGAACCAGTAGGTTTATTGGTACTTTTAAGCCATAAACATGTATAACATGCATTATTATAAAAATATTACTAAACTAATAGTCTTAAACAACAAAAAGCACATTTTTTGCATATTTTAAAAATAGAAAATCTAATAGTTTAATTAACTACTTGATATATTTCTAAATGAAAATTTATTTAAATTATATTCAAAATTCATAAATGTAAATGTTTTCATTCATAATCCTAAATATTACTAAAACTTATAAATAAACTATTCAAATGATTGTCAATAAAATTTTATATAATTACCATCCGTTGAAATTTAGACTAAATATTTAGAGAACTTCCAAAGTTGTTTTTGATAGATCTTGTTTAGATTTCAACAAACATTTTAATAATTCAATGATGAAAATATATATTTATTTTTCTTACATTGTATAATTTTTAAAAGATACACGACATCTAATGAAAGTTATTGAATCAAAAAAAAGAAAATTAATAAGATACATTTTAAGATATAACTAGTATACCCATTGCAAAAATTCGCAATAGATAATTTATTTATATAATAAAAAGTATAGGTGCAATCGAATCAATACATAAACACATTTTAACTAATCAATAAATGTGTATAATATAGAAAATTGAAAGACATATTGAAATGACAGAGAGTGTTAATTAAAATATATGTTCCGCAGCATTAGGATAGACTATATATGAGAGGGTGTAATTATTACATGTAAATTTTCTACAGTTCTTCCTTCCAGACAATATTAGCTAATATATGTAATAATATTAGTATTGTGAGTTGTTATCACTGGGTAAGAGCCAATGAGAATGCAGTATTTGGGAAAAATTGAAAGTAAAGTTGAATGTACACACATAACTTTCTTCAAATTTAACGAATTTAAGCAATTAATAGCGCAAAAGAAAGAACCTGATCCACTTAGTGTTCTTAGACTTGTGTCAACAGCCTATGTTAATTAGAACTCTAGTTATAGAGGTTTGAGTGAAGGAAAATCTTGAAAAAATGAATGTAAAGTTGATTGCTCATGCATAACATTCCTCAAACTTAACGAATTTAAGCAGTCAATAGCTCAAAAGAAAGAGCTTGATCTACTGAATATTTTGAAAGTAAAACGATCAAGATCCATTAATTAAAAGAGGAGCTATAAGAATTTGAATGTTGCTTGAATAAATGTGTCCTATAAGAAATATACAGGGAAGAATCGCGTTGGTGGAAATTGAGTAAATCTCAATGACTGATAACATATCTGTCCTTTCATTTAAAAAAATGAAGGAAATTGGCAGGATAGAACGACCGGACGGACTTTAGTTTTCTTAGATTTTTTTAATATATAAGATTATTTCATTACCAATATTTTTGAAAATTGAAACTAGAAATCTAAGAGGATATCCATGAAAACAACATTTAAAATACAATATAATAATATAACACGACGACGCACATCAATAAAATAATATAATATCTCCTAACGACTATATACATTCGGAGAAGTGAATATAGACAGACTGCAAAAAAGTAACAAAACTACACCTGATTGTTGACAATTCATGGTAGATCATTTGTTGAAAAGAAGAGAATGTGGAACATGAAAAAGTGTATTGGATCGAGTTAGAAGCTGAAATAACTTAATACAGAGTAGCGATATAAGTTCAGAAAATTGAATTTTGCCATATGACAATCATTCAATAAAAGTGCGACCAATTAAGTTAAAAAACCAAGGAAGAAAGGCCAAGTACATTTATTACCAGACTATACTTATGTGGCGGACAAAGGATTTTAAACACAAAACTGGCAAAACGCTAAAATATTCACTGGACCCTCTTAAGCTGCTTTGAATAATTAATACAAAGCAATATTGTTTCAACACGATTTAGCATAAACGTTAAAAGTAATGCACAAAAAGTCAAGACATCATACAAAAGGTGTACTTACATTCAAGTGAACCGGAGTATATTCAATCAAATCGTTTGTTCTAGGCTTTAAATACTTGAGTAAATCTAATAGCGTGTGCAAGTTTAATAGCCGAGAAAATATTCAAGCGTTGATTTTTAGACAGAACGCCACATGGAGTCTCCGACAGCAAAATACAATGGTAGAAACGAAACGGACCAAGCGCGCGGAATGCACGAGGTATAAACAACGTTTATCTGTTCGGAGATCAATAACAATGGTTAACCATGCGCACCATCATCTAAATACAAGCTCCTTGTTAGCATGACCGTTTACGATTGTTATTGATAACGTAGCCAACGTTTCGGCGGCAAAAACACGGTAACACTGGTATAATGTGTTGGGTATATTATTATGATCAACGCCGGATCGCTTGGACAGATTTCGTTCTATAGAATCGTTTTGAGGCGTTCGACGCACACGCGTGCTGTCATCTAGTGATGGGAATAATCTTGTTATTAGTAGTCTGAAACAAAATAATCGATTGGTTTTATTATCTCATTACCTGTACAGTATTGATTACTTTATAGTCATTGGTACAGTATGTAGTATAAACGAATAACAATACAATTAGGTAACTCAGTTGAAGTAATTACAACCACTTTTTTATAATCTTTCGAATACATAATTGGCGAATTAACTATTTCATGTAGAAAATAAAAAATATAAAATAGAACAAATATTTATCATAATTAGGTAATCAATTATAAAATATAAAATATTAATGATAATCTGAAAACTGCGTCTTGCATTGCGAAAAAAGTGTTAGTTTATAAAGTTAAATTTAAATTACTATTTAAAAATATAATATAATGATATTTGGATGAAGTCTGTTCCAACGGTCTTCATTTGTCTCGTTTTTAATAACACGCGTTCTGATGCATATAGGCACAACTAGGGGGACAATTAGGGTTTTTTAGCATCCCTGAGTTCAAATGTAGCACTCTTATTTTATTTTCAGATCTATATAATCATTAGTAATTACTCGGGCCCGGATTTAAATGCACTTAAAGCCATACAAATATACTCTAAAAAATAGCAAAAAAATGCATTTTAACACAAAAATTACCTTAAAAATGACGTAATTTTTTTTTGTTTTAGGCATTATTTAACACACTATATTAAAATCACAAACACGTAATACGAACAACGTCTGCGATGCAATACGAACTGACTGGTAAATTGTTATTTTACGAAATACTGGTGACGTTCCATAGTCTATAATAAATTAAGATAAGATAAAAACTGAATCGAAAAAAAGTGTATGGAAAAACCCGATAAACCTACTAAAATATCAAGAAAATATTTGTCTTTTGATTTTATTTTGAATAGGCTAAATGTGTTTAGTTTGTCGAACAATTATGTATTAAAAACCAACAAAATGACCTAATAATACTAAAAATACTCTAAAAATGAAAAAACGTCGAAATATACAAAAAAATAAAAAAATTCAAAATAAAATTTGTAGTTTAGTGTAGTTATGTATGAAACGAATTATGTTTTTAAAGAGCATTGTATATGATCAACCAAAAAAATATGCACTTTGCATTGATATCCAGGCTCTAGTAATTACAGTTAAATACCATTTTATTTTATTATCAGCAATTTTAGCACCCCTATATTTGGGCTCTAGTTGCGCCCATGTTCTGATGGAACAAAAGTCACGAGAACACATAAATATTTTAATTGTAGCGTATAAAGTTCAGGATATGTATTTTTGTGTTATTTTATATAATCTGTGGCTTTTTACTACTAATTTTTATCGTATGAATGTATTAATTGATTAATTTATTCGAATAATCGAATTGACTCAATCATAATATATAATAGTTATATATATATAAATATAATAATAGTTTTTTTTTTTTTTTATGGTGTTTCTTTTAAGCGTTCCATACTCGGCTATTGACGGAGTGGCGAGTGTGGCCGACGAAAGGAGAAATGAGGTCACACACGTGCCGGAGTGGCGAAAAACGGGCCCGAGAGAAAATTCGGTACCAGGAGATCAGGAGTAGCGAGCGTATGTTGCAGCGGCAGCGGCAGGGGGGCCCTCGTAATGCGCACGCGCTGGCTTTGCAGAAGCTCCAGCACAGGTCAACTAACCCGGGAATCCGCTGCGCACACGAATTCTCTCCGCCGCGCACACGCGATCCGCCCGGACTTTTTATTTTCGGTAACGATTGACGCTTTATGCGCCGTCATTTCATGCGAACGCTTTTTGATCGGAGGGGTCGCCCAATCCGTCGATCGTAATACAAGTTAACATTTCCATTGAACGCTTGTAAATCTATTGTATATTTCTTGCCACACAATTTCTGTACCAAAGGGTTTGTCTGTAAGTTTCCTGTTCTACGTTAGTGAGCGAACTTGTACAGATTTGCAGATTTACTTCTTGCAAAAGTGCCGAATTGTCGAAAAAATAAATGACTAGTCGATTCGTTAGTCCTTACGTTCACCTGGGATCTAAAATAAATTTATAAACTTTCAATGCCAGAAACTGCACGGTGTATTCGACAATTGTTTTTTACTTTCTTCGGATTTAGATGTTTCACGTCAAGCACTGTAGAAAGCATTATACGTTTATAATGTGCACTCGTTTTCTTAATGTATATGTTTTCGAAAAAAAAACGACCAATAAAATGTTGGTATAATATTCGGTTTATTTAAATTTCAAATACTACCTATAAAGTAGTACACCTTTATCATTTATAAAAAATTAACTAATTTTACATGACATTTCTAGACATGATCAATAATTTATTATTATACCATATATACATATAGAATATGTTTTATTCAAACAAATATAATATGTATTAAAAGTAACAAGTTTTAACCAGAGCTGTTTATAAATAACTTATTTAGTTTTATATGTATTCAGTTTTTTATCCAACATATATCTCCTCCCTTAATTATGATATTTCAAAGTAGCTACATCACTGCAAAAATAGTACATTATTAAAACAATAATAGTTTTAATATTATTAATAAATATAATAAATTAAATAATCCTTATATGTATAAAAGAACAGGCCTTTTTTGTTCCCATTCTGTGACGACACTATTTAATTATTTTAAATATTGTTTTTATCATCGTTGAAAGGCGCACGTTGCTATGCAGGCTCATACCCATTGGTGTGGGGGGGGATAAGGGCTTAAACCTCTCCCGAAAAACAGGTAAAATTATTAAATATGTTTTTATATACCTAGTAAAAATGGTATATAGATTATATAATTATGAAAATGTACAATCTAAAACCCCTCCTAAAATATTTTTTTGTGTAAGCGCCTCCTGCTATGTATGAAAATGTTCGCTGTAAATTACGCGTTATGGTAATGGATCATTGGCGCAGCGCGTGTTTGTAGTGAATTAAAAATGACTCCACGCAGCGCGTGAAACGTTGCATTATAGGTTCGGCGCAATCATGTGTACCCGCCTCAGGGGCGTCATTTCAACTTTTGAAAGGGTTAGGAAGTGTTTAAATTTGCCGAATTCATAATATTTAAAAAATTATAATTACCTATTTATTTAAATATTTAATATTTATGGACTATAGACTATCAATAATATATTTTTTCGGAACAAAACATGTAAGGATTAGTAATGAATAATGATATCATGATGATAAACAAAGAACATGAAACGTTTTAATTTACCCGATTAAATAATAATATTAAAGATAGTAAAACATTAATTTATTTACTTATCCTATAGGCTGTAAGTTATCTATTAATAGGTTTAATGGAATAATAATATATATCTAATTAAATAAATACTGATAATTTTATCATTTGTGTATTTAATACTTTACAGAACTTATTTATAAAACATAAAATTGTATCTCAAATATAATGTATCGTAGTTTGAGGTTAGTAGTAACGATTTTAACAGTTTTTTTTTTTTTTTATAGATTATGAGCTCAATTTTTATGGTATCGATATCACGAAAATTGTTTTATAAAGATCACTTATGAAGAAATATAAAATATACCAAAAATAAAGTTTATAAGGTTCGCGTCATAAAGATTATCATAAACCGGGGAGGAGCCAGTGTTTCACAACCGTGAACGTGAACGTGTATTTAAAAGAGAATATTATCTGATTTCTGATTACAGAATAGTAAATAAAAATGTACTCTTTACTGATTTTAGCATTTGATCATCGGACAAAGAATTGCCGACTTTTTAAAATTTCTTAAAGTGGGGTATTTTCCATAGTCACCCCCCCCCCCAAATAACGCGCCTGACCCACCTTAAAACGTATACATGAAATATAAATAAGAATAAAATTTCACGATGCCATGACTTATATTGTTTCATAATTCCAAAAATGAATCTAATAATAGTTTTTATAGCCACATTTTTATAGTTCTAGTCGGACTCTCTCAGTTGTTTTATTTTTGTAAATTGTATTGTTTTCTTTGTTCTTGGCTATCGATAACGATTAAGGTATGGCATTAAAAATAACAAATATAGCTTGGGCTCAAACCATAACATTTCTGGAGGCCCTAAGTGGGTATGGTCACCTACCTGCCTTGCCAGCAGTGTTAGTTATAAGCAGTGCCGGATCTAGTATATTTTTACCCGGGGCAAAGTATAAAATTAACACCCGCCCCTTTGTTATGCTCAAAATTATACTTATGTACCAGTAAAACTCTAAAGAAAAAAATCGAATAGAATAAAAGAAAAAATATATCTATTTGCTAGATTAGAAAAAATATGTATTAAATAAAAAACTTTAAATACAAATTATTACAAACTAATACATGACAATAATCATACAATAATCAAACAAATTATCATTAAATTTTGATTTTTCTTGCTTTTCTGGCAGCAAATTCGTTAATTATATCATCATAATCTAAATTTTAGCAATTTGATTTTCGATTGAAATAATTGAATTTGATAGTTGTTATATGTCGAAGAAAAATTAGTTTATCAGTATTGTTAATCGGGTTTTAACATCATGTGTTATCTGATTATTGTAATTTATAGTTTGTAGATATCCTATTAGCATTGATTATAGAATAGATTTCTATAATCAATGCTATTAGCAATAAAATATACTACAATGAGTCGCAGAAAATATATTTAGTAGACAAATAACATCTATTGGGTTTTTGAGTTTTTTCCATTGTTGTTATAACCATAAAGTCAAATGGAGATAGAAATTGTAATTTGTATAATACTTTTATTATAAAATGAATAAAAACTATTAATATATATACACAACTTATTTTGTAATTTGACGTTCCCCGACCAAAACTTCCGGGACAAGAGTCCCGGTTCATCCCCCCCCTAGATCCGGCCTTGGTTATAAGGCGAGAATAGATGGATCACCTCCTTGGTATTTGGTTTTTTTAAATTCAGTAATTCATGAATGATTCAACTCAGACGAACCGATTGAGTTGATTCATTGGTAACGCTGATTATTTTACAGAACCGAAAGTTAAACGATTCATTCTAGGCTGTGATTCAATTCGACTTTATTTTATCGTAGTCCGTGGTTATCAAGTATCCAGTGTTATCAATTTATGTGAAAATCCTGTCGCTTATATTTGCCAAGTCATAAACATCCGAGCTCTAGTCATAAAATATATTAATATTAATTAGTTAATAATTATTTTAAATAATTATTAATTATAATAATTATATAATTATTTTAACTTATTTTAAATGCTATTTATTGTATTAATACTTTGAAATTAAATCACTGAAAAGAATTTTTAAGTGCAAATTTTGAGAGCATATTATAGGGTTCATAAATGCATAAGTGCTTGCATATTTTTTGATTTTTTAGAGCTACAAGTTCTCTGCCCTAGTTATAACCCTTTAAATCAGTGTACATACATAGTGATAGTAATAACAATAACAATATTTTTATTGAATACAAAATAAAAATAAAAAATGCGGTCAAAACATATTTGCAACAAAAATATTATAAAAAAATTTAAAAAGTTCAGTTTTTATTTTAGTTATGATGTAATATGTATTTTCTGTTCCCCCACTCAACACACCCACAATTTGTATATACCTCGGAGGTCTTTGCCTATATACGCCACTGAGCCTACATTTATAAGTATATAATATTTATACATTTATACATTTAATCGTTAAACATTTGATAACTGCTTTGCACAAACAATCTAAATCGGTAGGCATTATTATCAGTATAATAATAATTTCAGTTAAAATTACATTTAAATGATTCGAAGTGATTCGCTGGATCGATTCAGTGAATTGAAACGAATCAGGAGAATCGATTCATTTAACTGAATCATATTTCGTATCCCTACACTCGGCGGACCGTTTAGCGTCCGTTACGCGCAGAGCGGTTTTTCATCGGTTCCCCAAACGTTCGTTCACAGTTATACAGCGCTGTTCCAGGTGGAGTATTTTGTTTCTTTGTTTCGAAACGTGAAGCGTTTCGTACGGAAATGTGGGAATGACCTACTGCGGCGAGTGGCTGGTGGAGGGAAGTTGTTCTGAATGTACGACATGTTTACCAACGTGCATCCAGTACAGTACAGATACTAGTGATGGGAATAATCGAATGATATAATCGAATCATTCGATTATTTGAATAATCGAATCAATTCGATTATTTTAAAAATCTTTCGAATTATAAAATAATGAAATAATCGAATGAAATAATTATTCGAATAAAATCATACAAATTAAACATTTTCTCATCTCAATTTTATTACTTTTATCATACACAATCAATATAATTAATCGAAACCATTCGAATCAATTCGATTTAAAAACGATTTGATT